CATGTATTACAAACCCAATGATAAATTGATTACTACTTTATATGATTTTGTATGTCTACTAAAGGAGTTGACAGAGGAAAGGAGAGCAGATATACATTTATATGTTTTCCTATATTAACCTTCTTTTTATCATTTCTGATGATTCTTCATCTATTCCTGTGGATTCTTTTGTTATGTTATTGCTAAATGTACTACATTTTATATGGCATAGGCTGAACAGTAATACCATTATTAAATATTTATTGTTTCATACAATTTCTTTCTAAAGCAATTAATAGAAAAAGGAAAAAAAGAAAACAGATATTTCGTTGCATAATTACAATGCCATAAACCTAGCAAAATTAACAGTAATTCCTTAAGATTATTCAGTCCCAACTCCTTAAATGGATTTCCATGATCATTAAGAAAGCTTTTAGCTAAGAAAGAAAATAATTATTTAGAATTCTGTGGAGAGTGAGAGTTAAGGATGACTTTTCCTATTGATTAATCAGAGAGGGACCCACTTTCTTCCACCTACGGCCATTGCCCGTTTTGTCATATTTTAATACCATGCTTTGAAAAATGCCTATCTCATTTGTATTTTAGTTCTTTTACTGAAAGACCACCAGAGGAAGGAGAAAAGATGTTACTGTTTTGCACTTCTTTGTTGTTGGCAGCTCCAGGGAAAGGTTTGGTACCGGGAAGTATGAAGAATATTGTTTTAAAAAAGTTTCTAGCCTTCTACTCTACCTAATATTTAGTGTTAGTATTACAGGTAGTCAGAAACTGAGTGTAATTGGTGAAGAAGACAGCATAGAGATTGTCATCCAATTAAAATAATTTATGAAAAGTGGTAAGACATTTTTCAGATAACCTTCATTTTAAGCAATGTTTCTCAAGTGGTATTTGGAGAAGGTATATCCAAATCACCTAGGGACATTTTCAAAATCTCCTCACCCCTGCCAGTGCAGATCAGATTCTGAACAGAAGGATGGAATGCAGAGGCAGTGGGTGTACACATTCTGAAAACGCTGTTCTCAACGTAACTTGGCTCTTTTTCTACCCCCCAACAAGAAAAAGTAAAAGAATCATTGATCTAAACACATCTAAATCACCTTTCAAGGCCATGGTATTATGGAATTTTATTTTTTTTTTAAATCATTTCAAACTAAGATATATTGGATCAGTCATATTAAGGATATAGTTTGAATAAGCATATTATAACTCATTAGAAATCAACAGGAAGGAAAGTTCATTTTCTTTGAGGAAATGCCTGGCTGTGATTCCACTTACAAAACACATATGAGATGTGACTGTTGTCCCAAGCACTCGTTTCTGTGTCCAAGATGCATCTTGTTTAATGTTTCCAGTATGTCATCTGTATTCACTAAGGGAAATTTGTCTCCATAGTGGACTTTGGAAGTCTTTTAAAATTGATTACCTTTTGACGAATAAGTTCTCTGAGCTTTGTCCGATGAATTTTTCATGCGCCAGGAAGCCTGGCCACTTGGGTTCCAATTAGAGCTGGGGATATTTTGTTTATTCTTTTGTTGGTGGTCTGTTTTATTTAAGAGCTTCAATTTAGTAATAATCTTTGCTGAAAGAGGAATAACAAGGTCTCAGAGCAAGAATGTGTCAATATTTCAGAAAGTCTTTGTTTAGGAGGTTTAGGGTTTGAACATAGGTAACATTTCTGTTTTCTTTTGACAGATTTTTGGAGCATATGCAACCCATCCTTTCAAGTTCAGTGACCACTATTATGGCACAGGAGAAACTTTTCTCTACACATTTAGCCCTAATTTTAAGGTACCTAGATGGGAGAAATATCCAACTTCCCAGTGTCACAATGTCAGCAGGGGGTGAAGGGATGGGCATTGGGGCAGCCCCCGTCCTGTAACCTCATCTGGACTCTGCAGCCTGGGTCAGTCCTTCATGACTGTAACACAGAAACTGCTTAGGGTCCCTGACTTTTGGAGTTGTTCGGTCTGGGTTCCGAGGAGGGGTTGCAGTCAGAGCCGGCATGTGCCTGAAAGGTCTTTTCTACTTCATTATGCCTTTGGAGATCTCATTCTGGTGTGGGCCAGGTCCGGCCATCAGGAACTTCCTCAGTCAGTGAGGTGCTTCCCTTTTACACAGAGATGTTATTTAATATTGCCTCTTTGCTCATTCTCCTGATTAACGACCATGCTCTGTTTTGTGTTTCTACCCCAAGGTCTTTAAGTGGAGTGGAGAAAACTCGTATTTTATCAATGGAGACATAAGTTCTTTAGAACTTGGTGGTGGAGGGTAAGGTTTTTATTGCTGTTGTTGTTGTTTTACCACCTGACCTGAGTGGGTCTGTTTTGACCCAGGTAACTGAAACCTTGGTGTCAGATGATTTTAGCTATCCCATGTGCTTAGATGAATTAGGACAGTGGTCTAACACATGACACTAAGAGTCAAAGATAAAATTATTTATTTATGTGTCTAAATGAGGGACTACTACCACTTGTTGTTTAGGAAGACAGGTCACTTAAATGAAATAAAGGTAGTATACCCTTTGTTTTACAAGCCGTTTAGAATTTTGCCTGTCTGTGACATAAAGGAAAAAAGATGGGGCACGAGAAGATAGAAACTGTGCCACATAAGATTTAAGTGTTTTTAACCTTTTTCTTTTTTTTGTTAACATTTTCAGGGGACGATTTGGTTTATGGCTAGATGCCGATTTATACCATGGACGAAGCAATTCTTGCAGCACTTTCAATAATGATATTCTTTCCAAAAAGGAAGACTTCATAGTTCAGGACCTAGAGGTATGGACATTTGAGTGAAATTCAGACTGCCTTAAAATACAACATTAAAAAGACTGGGTTAGATCAGCCCTCCTAAAGCTGGCTGGAAGACGAAGTCCCAGCTGAGGCTGCCTCATCGCACCCTAATGCTTTCTTTCTGCCATCATCTCAGAGCATGATCACATTGCGGAAAGATTCCGAAAGGTATATGTGGAGGGCAGACCCTGAAGAAAGAAATTCGAAGTCTAGATTGTTGAAAGACTTTGTACTTCCACTTCCTTCAAATCCATACAGTAAGGAATCAGAGTGTTTATAGATGTATGAGTTGAATGCAATTTTTATTTTTGGTAACTGTGAAAAAAAAGATACTGTGGAAATATATACATGCCTTGTGTATTTACCGGCATAATTTTCATTACCAAAATGTATAGCTATTGTTTGCCATGGAAAAGGTTAGTCTCATTTAGAAAAACTGAGAGTGCACAGCACTTAAAAGGGAATATATGATTTTTTTTTTAAAAAAATGTTTTATTTATTATTTCTAGTATATTGTCTGAAATGTGTTGGCAGTTTTTTTCTTTTAATGTGTCAAATCTTGAAATAAAGAAATGTATACATTTTGTGCTGTGTTTTGGGAACGAATCCGTATGATTTATATAGTTTTATATTGAATTTTTTTTGCCCTGATTGTTTAGGGTGATAGGTCTCAAGTAGCATATATGTATATGTATATGTACATATATATAAGTGTATAATTCTGAATTTTTAAAAACTTATCACCAATGTTCATTGATTTGACTATTATAGGCCATCTTCCCATTTAGTCATTAAAAGGTACATTTTTAGTTACTTACCCTGAACATATTTGTGTAAGGAAGAATACATCTTTCTCACAGTCTTAAGTTGATATTTATAGAAATGGATAACCCTTATGAAACTAGACTTAGAAAAAACCGTGCTTTTGAAATGAAAATGTTTTGCTTCTTATAAAATCATGTGTGTTAACAACAAAAACTTTATTTTCATAGTGTTTTTTGCATAACTTTCCCAAGCTTTTACATTAATGAGCAGGCCTCTGTTTTAAAAGCGACCAAGTGTTTTAATTTCTGTAGTTTTTTAAATCAGATGAAAAATCTCAAATTGGACCACTTGTCTTGGTTTCTATACTTGTTTGAGAAAAAAACAATACAAAGAAATTCATTCATACCAAAATTGGAATAAAAATGTAAACCTATTTTTTAAATATAAACCCATTTTCACATCATAAAACATGTTTTATTGAAAATAATAATAAAGCCTTGTTAAAAACTTAACCAATATTATTGATTGCCAGATTTTTACGAAAGCCAAAGTCTGCTAGTGGAAAAAAAATTCAAATAATAGCCAAAGCTGAGATGTGGTCTGTCATAAATTACTTCCCTAGTAATCTTTAAAAGGAAAAGTTATTTAAAAAAAAATAGTACTTGCATATCTACATTTTAAAAATTTATGGACTATTTCTTTTAGATTATTCTATTTTAGACTATTTGTAAAAGTCTAAAATTATCTGGTGGCCTCCTGTCAGACCAACAATTATATTCCACTCACATTCCATGCAAGTTTAAATGAATGGTATAAAATTTTAAATCTGTATCCCGGGTATACTGTTCACCCAAGTTCTCCTACTGAGAACTCTTAATTAACAACATATTGGCAGTTTCACCTTAATCTGCTTGTTAAATGTGTTGGTGTGAGATATCAGGAATGTCTCAAGATGATCACATTTACCATTTGCGCCATTTGCAACCGTATGCTGTTAATAAACAAAGTGGTCATTTTGCATATAGTTCACTCTGACCTAGTTTAGTCCATGATATTAATACTATATTGTGAGAGCATATCCAGATGCTGTGTTCTCTATTTAAAACAGTATTGTCCAATCAGAAATGTGGATTTATGGATATTGACTATATGTAATGCAGTGCTATCCCAATATTTTCAATAAAGGAATTTATGCATTCAGTGTGATTTTCTTTCCTGAGAATTCATTCATCATGAATTATAATTCATTTAAATTTAAATAGCCACATGTATTTATTGGGTACTGGAGTTTTTACTTTTCTGAGAGGATGATGAAATATCCAAGACTAAACAAGGTCCAGTGCCCATGTTTTCATTGCTGCCCTGGAAACTCCTCTTCATTCCCTGTAGCCACTCTCCTATTCTCATCAGTTCATGGAAACTGCTCTTGTTATATTTCCTAGACATAACTCTTGGCTCTATCTACCAGCTTCTTGTCTGTTCTAATCCTTCTAGCTGTTTTATGAAGAATGACCTCCTCCTTTTAATATCTGTCTCAACCTGCTTCCTAATTTCCATGGTGGACACCTTAGCCTCTGATAAATTTCCTTTGGCCTCCTGTCACCTAGCCCCTAAAGATGAGGACCCCAGGCAGTCATCATTGCTTCTTAATTTCTCATTTCTAAGTCCATGGTAAAGGACTTGGGTGGGAAGATGTTTCTTCAGACTCAGTTGATTTTGATATATCCCCTTGCTACAAGCCACCAGGGACACCATGAACTAATATGAGAAGTATGTCTGCTCTTAATTGGATTTCCCTTTCTTTGATTCCTTTTTAAAGTTTTAGAGGCACAGAAACAGGACTAATAAAAGAACTGCTCCTTTTTTGAGGAAGGCATTGAGAATCTCTTACATCAGAAAGGAGAGTTAAGACTCATGTTTTTCTTAGGATGCCTAACCTGTTTTTACAAACTTAACCAGATAGAGGAAGGTAAGGAGGTCAGAAGCCAAGGGAAATTCCAGAAAACCCAAGGTAAGGGCAGTCACATTTACGCTTTGTATAAGTATCAAAGGTGCCTTTGACCACTTCCTTCTGCCCAATCAGGTCACATACTCATTCAGGGGAAGTCCTAACACACATTATCCATTGTGATTCCCTAACAGAACGTGTCTTTACTGAGAAAATTAAGCTTCGCAATTCACACCAAACCCTAAGGTCTTACTCCCTTTCTTTGTATTTCAAATCTCTAGTGGTTCAGAATAAAAATTAGACATGGCCTCCCTGGTATGGTCAATCAAGTCATCAATATGTTTCTTAACAGAGTATCTTTGGGGAGTTTTTGTTTATCTTTTAGATTAGCGCTGCCCAATAGAACATGCTAGGATGATGGAAATGGTCCATGAATTTTCACCGTCCTTTGTGACAGCCACTAGTTACCATATGAATGTTGAACACTTGAAATGTGCCCTGGGTGATTGAGGAGCTAATAAATGAATAAATTTTAATTCATTTAAATTTAAATAGCCATATGTGACCATTGGCTACCATATTGAACAGCACAGCTCTAGATCAAGATGTTAGTACTACATCACATTTTCATCAGCAATTAAATCAGACTGACTATGACTCCCTCAACAGAAGAGACCCTGTATTTCTAAGCATTGTGATTTGTCTATGCCATTAGGGATCTTTAAACAACTTGGCACCACCTAAGCCTGAGGTTACATAGTATATCTCTCACTGTTTAGGTAGTCAGCTTATAAAGTGACCAGACAGCTGAGAGTCTTTCCTTACTGAAAAATTGCATCTCTATAGGATTATTGATCCCCACCTCTAACCAAAGCTAATGAAAACCTCTTCTAGTGCCCAGGCCTTGTCTTGCACAAAGTTTTCCTGGCCATCTGCACATGTTTTGTTCCTATGCTAGACATTCCACTGCTCATGGCACCCCTGGTAGGGTGCTGTATCCCTTGCCAGGTGCCCATGGCATAATGGGCCACAGAAGAGAAAAAACAACTCATTCCTTACACAGAATTGTGCATCCAGTCTCAGAACCATCAGGAATAAGGGAACCTCCTAGAATGCCTCACATGGTGCTATTCAGTGACCATCTTCTTTACCAAGTTTGCCAGTTGAGATGCCAACAAGCTGCATGTACACTCAGAGAACCTGCCTGCACGTGGAAAAAGTGTTCAATAGCTACCTGTTAGAATAGAAAACAACAAAAACCCATAGGAAAGAGACTATTAGATAACTGTAATGTCCTATTTACCCATCATTGAGGGCCCATCATTTGATCAACCCCTCCACTTCTAGGGTTAGAAAAAGTAACTCTGATCTAGCTCGACATAACTCTTGAGGAAAATGCTAAACAAGTAACACCCACAGGAAAAAATATGTTCATTGTCAACAAGCTTAAATGATAAAGTATGTCTTCTTGTGCCTCTGCTGCTAAAAAAAATCCTCACCTTGACATTATTTTCAAAACATTGGAATTCAGCCACACAATTCAGCCTTTAATCCCCACACTATATCTTGGCTTAACCTCACTCTCCACTGGCTGATGGATCAGCCATGTTACCTAACAGTTGACTGAGATCAGCCCTCTCGCCCTCAAAGATTCCAGTTAACAATAAGAATCTTTCAACAAAGATATGTTGAAGTATCGTGTTGACCCTGAGAGCTGTTAAAAGACCCCAATATTACTCCACATCCGACAGGACCCAGTCTTGTTCTCTTGCTGTATCTTGTTTCCATATTAAATCCTCCTAAGGGTCAGAAAAGTGGATAGATTTGACCTGGAAGTGTCCTAGAGAGAGCTGGGAGTGTATGAAATGGGCCCCTTTTAGCAGGTATCTAGTTAGACCCAGATGGAGCCCAGAAATTCTAAAGGCTTCAAGAGGCAACAAAACACAGTGGTTAAAGTATGGATTCTTGAGAGCCAGATGCCCTGGGTTTGAATCTCAGCTCTGGAGCCTACTAACTATGTGACCTTGGCTAAGTTGTGTAATCTCTATATGCTTCAATTTCTTTATCTGAAACATGGGGACAGTAATACCTCCCATGATTGTATAATGATTAATGCACTTAAAATAGTGCCTGGCATAACATAAGCACTACTAAGTGTTAGATAAATAGAATAATGGAGGAATTCCTTTTTCTATTGGAGGAATCACCTAATGATATAACAGTTGCAAAGTTCATCTTCTAAGATAGCAACTTACTTTTTAAAATTATTTTCAGACATACTACAATGGCTCTCATTTGCTGTTGTGATATTTTTAACTAAGGTTTGGTTTCCTTTTTTTAATTATAAAAGTAAACGTGTTCATGGTAAAGTTTTCAAACAGTACAGAAGAGAATTCAATAAAAGGCAAATATTTCCCTCCCTACATTTCTAGAGGTAACAATCAGTTTCTTATATTTTCTTCTAGAGCATTTCAGTGCATATATAAGTTTATTTACACCTATAAACAGAAGCATATTATACATACTCATATACACAGAAGCATATTTTACATACTCTTCTTCAGTTTGCCTTTTTAATTTAACAATATACTGTAAACAACATTTTCTATCAATATATGTAGATTTACTTCATTCCTCATTGTATGGGTCTATTATTGTTTAAACAGTCTTCATTAATGGAGTCTTTTTGGCTATTACAGACAATTCTTAGTGGATATTTTTTTTTTTTTTTTTATGAGAGTATCTCTCTGTTGCCCCGGCTAGAGTGCC